CAGCCGAGCCACGGCGTCGGGAGTGTCCCCTGCCAGCATCTCCACGCAGGGCCGGCCCAGCTCCGTGCCCGCGAGGGGCCAGGCAGCTCGCCTGGCCCACCGCCACCGCGCCTCTGCGGGTAAGGGTTGGGAAAGTGAGCCGGATGGGAGAGTTACCGACCGGGACGAGGTGCTATGACCTGCCGCGGCGCTGCCCGGCTGCCCTGGGGCGGAGCGCTGTTTGCTGAGCGCAGTGGCTTTTCCGGGGACGCCGCCGGCTTGCGCGGATGCCGCCGCTGCTTCCTCGTCGCTGCCGCCGAAGCTGGTGATGAAGGTGATCTTCTCCTCGTGGCCGGGAGACGGGGTGCGGGAACGGGAGCGGGATTCAGAGGTGGACTCCGAGGGGGAGCTGCGAGGTGACGAGGTGGCTTCAGTTGCCAAAAACGCTCCCTCCCAAAAACCGCCGGGTGCCAGGCTCCCCACCGGCCGCGGGGACCCGCGGGAAGCGGACGTCCCCAGCCTGGAGAATCCCCTCGTCCCGGGGCTGTGGCCGCTCACCGTTTGTAGGGATCGTAGGTGGGGCTGTCTCTCCGTGCGTAGCTGTGAAAGGAGAGGGCGTTAGGGAAGGAGAAATGAGGAAATCGGTGGGACATCACCAGGGGACAGAGCTCCCCGGGACCCCACGCAAGCTGGCACGGACGATGTCTAGGACGGAGCGGGCAGGAGCCGCCCGGGACACATACGAGCGGATCAGGGCCGTCGAGCCCTGGGAGCCCCGTCTCTGCCGCCAGGCCGGGGAGCTCCCCTGGGGGGGCTGATCTTCCTCCCTTTCAAGCGTTTCTCCCTGAACTCCCTCCTCTGGCGGCGAGAGCGACGGCCCTAGGAGAGCAGCCTGAGCTAAGAGACGGCACCAGCCGGGGGAAAGCCGCCCCAGGCGTTTGCGGGCCCCCCTCGGGAGGCAGAGGTGCCTCTGTGAGCATTTGGGGGGGGGGGGGTGGGGGCGCGGCGCCAGCTAAGGCTCGCAGCGGGACGGGGCAGAGCTGGCCGGAGCTCCCCTTACCGAGTACATCGCCTTTTCCTCTTCCAGGGCTTTGGCGTTTTTAATAGCTTCCGCTTCCTCTTTGTCCTTCCGTAACATCCTTCCCCCCCCCCGCGAAAAAAGAGAGACCCTCAATAAAAGCCCACCTGCCAGCACCCAGAGAGGGAGCCTGTGCTCGGGGGAGATGTTTTTGGGGCCCCCGTCCTAGAGACGGGCACGTCCGCAAAGGATTCAGCCCCCAGTGAGAAGGGGAGGCCCTGGTGAGGCTCCACCGAGTTCCCGGGGTTTTCCCCGGCCGTCCCGGCCGCCAGCCGTACCTGACAAAGTCCCCCTCCGCCATGCCGTACGTGGTCGCCTGCTTGTTCAGGTCGGCCACCTGCTCCTGGTTCAGCTCGTCCACGTCCACTTCCACGTCTGCGGGCAGAACGCGGGCAGCTCAGCGCACCCCGAGCCTCCCTGCGCGGCAGGGCTCGGCACGTCTGCCGAACAGGGGTGAGGCAGCCCGATAAGGGAGGGCCATTACCGATATCGGGGATGACTTCGTCTTCATCCGTGTTGCTGTCTTCCTCGGAGTCTTCCTCCTCCCCCCGCTTCTCCAAGGAGTTCTCGAGCTCAGCCACAGTGCTGTCCTCGTACGTGTAGCCGATGGAGGCCTTTTTCTCCGCCAGCCTGGGCACAGACACGCTTAGCCCCTGCCCGCCTCTCCCCTCCAGTGTGGCGGCTCCACGCCGGGCAAGGCGGCATCGGGGCCCGAAAGTTTCCTCGGGAAGAAACCCGCCCTTCCTCTGCCTCCCTCCTCAGCCACCACAGCTCCGCTCGGCCCCAGGACAGCCTCGCGGCCGCAGCGACAGGGACTGGACGGACATTTCAGCGTGGAGACGCAGGGGACAACTTCAGAGCGTCGCCGAGAGCAGCTGAGGGAGAACGGTGCAGCCGGCGGCTGCCGAGTCCCACCCCGGCGGAGGGGAAACCGGGACCGGTTGAACGGCGGGTGTTTCTGAGGCCGCGGAGCCACACTCCCAGCACAGCCCCCAAAGACAGGGACGTGACAACCGTCCTCTGTCACCTCTTCTCACACTCACTTCTTTTTCTCATCTTCGTTTGGCTTCTGGAGTCCCCCATAGAGCTCGTCGATGTAGATCTGGTAGAGACACTGCTCCTCTGAAACTGCAACCACACGTGGAAGTTACCGGCTTGCTTTACGCCCACTCGAGAGAGAACAGCTCAGAGAGCTGATTAACTGCAGTTCGTTAGGAGGGGACGCGGCTCTCCCAGCGCCCCGCCAACCCCCCGAGCGGGGACGAGACCATCCCCTCGCCCTTCGGCTGGCGCCACGCCGAGCCGCGCCCCGGACGAGCTGGGGTTTCCCCCGAATTGCAGGGGCTCGCCCTGTCTCAGCACAGCCCCGACCCTCCCGCCTGCACGAGACACTCACTGCCGGCGAAGTCGTTCTGCACCAGGCCTCGGTACCGCTCGTAGTTGCACTTTCTCTCATCAGACTCCTGCTCGGGGGAGCTGGAAAGGAGCGAGATGCAGCCGTTGGTGCTCACAAGCCTCTGGGGAGATGGAGGTTCCCCTCTCCGCAAGGGATTTTTGGACCGCGGAAAAACCACGTCCCCTTTCTGCTTGGATTAGCGAGGTCAGATCCCCCGCTGCGGGGAGCGACCAGGGCTGGATTTTGCAGGCGGAGGATCGCGTGCCGGTCCAGGATTCCCTCGAAAACCCAGCAAAGGGATCGAACTCCTCTCCGGAGCTCGCGCCGAGGCCGGAGAGGGTAAGCAGGGGCAGGAAGGGAACCTGGCTGCTCTCCACAGACCCAGCCCTGGGGGGAAATTTGCCCTCTGCCCCGTCCCTGCTCAAAGCAGGGCCGACTACAGCAGCCCGCTCCAGCTGAGCGGCGCCTCTCGCCAGAGGCAGAGACCCCACCAGCCTCTGGGGGTTGCGTCGGTGCTTAATTAACTCCCTCGCTCTAATTCTGGCCTTTTCATCGTGCGCTCTTACTGCGAAGAGCTCGGCTCTGTTCTCTCTAACTTTTTAGGTATAGGAAAGCTGCTGCGGGGTTCCCCTTCGCTCCGTGCTCCAGCCCTACCCGTCCCTCCGCGCTCGCTCCAGCTTATCCTCCTTGTACTGGGATCTCTTACGCTGGTCCCAGTACAGAGACAGAGTCCAAAAAGCAGCCCTGCCCGCCCTGCAGCGACCCCAGCCAGGCTCACAGGCGATGCTGGCTCCGAAACCTCAGCCAACCGCTCCAAAACAGACCCGAGAAGGCCTGATCCGGACCCGGCAGCTCCCGTCGAAGCGGGGTGCCCCGGCGCCCCACGGCTTACATGGGGTTCAGCAGGGGCGGGGTGTACATGGGGATATAGTCCAGGTGCGCCCGCACGTCGAAACGGTCGATCATGTTGTTCGTGTCCCCCTGCCAGGGCATCCTGCGGGGACAGAGAGGTCATCAGGGCTGGGGGACAGCCGGGAAACGCCCCCCCCGCGAGGAGCAGGG